AGATAAACCAGTTGCCAGGAATTGTCCTCCCAGTGCTCATGGCCATTACGGGCTGGGGAGACTGGATGCCCAGAAATCCTCCGGCTTTGCATCTGTGCCACAAACGGCTGCAAACCTGCTCCGTGCAGCCACCCAGCCACTGCCACAGCCCCTGCCCGCGCCTGCGCTGCAGCATCACCGGCCGAGCCGTGACCCACTTTGGTCCCGTGCTGGGGCGATGGAAGGCGGCAGGGACGCGGCAGGGATGCAGCAGGGATGGACAAGGAGTTCTCTGCAGGCTGCGGCGTGGAAGGTACGCCCCGATCCCAGCGCGGCTTTGGGGGAGCACCTCAAACCCAGCACCGGCCCCAGGGACGGAGGAACGTCACACATGGCCACATCTGTTCAGATAACCGGCCCCGCGGAAAGGATAACCCCCCATCCCATCCCACCCTTTAACGCTCTCTTTGTGCTTTGAACGGGAGGGTTGCGTAACCCTCTGCCACGTCCTTCCCACGTGCGGGGACTCGAACTCCGGAAGAGGAAATATTGCAGAGGAATGCGTTACCTCGATGGGTTCAGCGCCAAAACCCAGGGAAGACACTTGCCTCCCTCCCTCCCTCCGGCTCATACGCCACACACGTGCTGGCAGGTAACGGCGTCGTTCCTGCCACGGCTCCACAGCAGGAAACCTTTGTCCCCGGCCACGGAGCGCTGGTGATGCCGAGCGCTCGGATTTTTCTCCTCCACCAGCTGACTGCATTGCAGCGCTGCGGGGTCTGCACGGGGTGAGGATGGAACCTGCGCAGCTGGAACCTGCTCCCCTCCTTTCCCCGGCAACCGGCAGCGCGGGGAACGAGCGTTAGAGCAAAGAGGATGCACTGAACGATCCAATTCTGCTCCTGATGCAATTCTTGCTACTGAAACAAACACAGAAAATCACGGTCCAGCAGCTCCCACCACTTACAGCCTGACCGCAGCCGGCTGACGGCTTCTTCCTTCCACGTACCTGTGCAAGGGAATCTAAACCTTCATTCCAACAGCCAGGCTGAGCAAATAAAAACCTGGCTGTGGTCACAGAGGCAGAAATGAGCCCTTTGGGAATTCCTTAGAGAGGAGAAATAGGGTCAGACGGAGCCTGGACTTGGTGCTGAACCTGAAATGGCCAGGGAGCAAGTGCGTGATGGGTTTTGTTGCCCATATTCCCCCTCCAAAAAAACTAAAGTTATCCCTGTGTCAGGCTCATTCCGTGAACCCCCAGCAGGCTCCTGGGAGAGATTTCAGGACATCAGAGGCAGCATTTCATGAGGCTACAAACCTTGCCCACAACTTCTTTGTAAAGAAAAGAGGCTTTGAGACGTCTTAATTACAAAATAACATTTAAAAGTTGTCAGGGTTTATTATCTCGTCACAGACATAATGATTCACTTTGTGTGTTATAACCAGACGGGCAGCGGCAGCCCGAGCCACTCCCTTCCCCTTTCCGCTGCATGGTGCCACGCGTGCAGCCTCTGCAGCGGGACGCAAACCTTGCAGGAGGCGGCAGGGCGTGACAATTAAACGCAGACATTTACCCCAGTGACTGGAAAGCATTTCCCAGCATCCTGCCCTCGCGGGCTGCTCTGCTCCAGGATCGCTCCTCTGCTCGGTCCCGTCCTTTTCAGCAGCACAACGGAGACGTCCTGGGCTGCGACAGCGTGGTCCCTTCCTGCAGCCCTTTGCCACTCGAGTGCACTAAACCCAACCAAACCCCCCAAACACACATTTGCACAGCGAGGAAGCTGAAGCTGAAGATAGAGGCGGTGACCGACCAGCCC